GTAATGCTGTTTCTGCTTTTGAGACCAGAGGCATTAACACGGGTTAAATTGTGAAAGTGTCTACCATTAGATATTGCAGTAGCAACTAGGCAATCAGCCATTTGATTCCCTTTGGTCAAATGTCCTGAAAGGTGTGTATGAGCCCTTACGTGTGTGATGTATACAGGGTGCATTCTAACTGCTGTTTGCAATTGGGTAAATAAAGTAATCAGTTGTTCATCTGTATGAAATCATAACTGAGCATTTTCAATTAACTGTGTGGAATGAACCATGTATGAAGAATCAGAAATCACATTAATAGGCATATCAAAAGCAGTCAATACCTGCTGAAGTATAGGGTGTCTGAAAAGCTTTACCATTACTAGACTCATCTGTAAAAACATTTTCAGCACCTTTAATTTGTTTAAATTCAGTTATTTTGGGGAGAATCCAATTAGTTAATTTCAAAAACTGAAACAGTTTCATTTTAGGCAAATTATTATCAAGAATACCACAAAGCCAGCTAAATGGGCTTGCCAACCAAGACTATTTATTAAAGTTTGCTGTATTTAGCCTTCATGAGAGGAACAATAATTTTTCCAGGATCATATCCGTGTAATTTAACAATCCGAGTTCTCCCAATCCCTATCATAGTAGCAATTTGATCCAAATAAGGAGTTAGAGTCCGTGAATTAATATGTGGAAGAAAAAGCCTCTCTACTAAGTACTGTTCTTTGACAATAACAACAGTAGGTGAATGCTGAATTGAAAATATTAGCAAATCTAGAGTCTTCTCTGGATCTATTCAATTTATTTGAGCTTTATGGATTTGCTTCTCAATCAGTTGTAACTCTGCCTCAGACTCCTTTTTTAATTGCGAGGGCTAGTGAGACTAGGATTTCCTCTAAGGATACAAAATGGATTACTCATGGCATAGGTAGGAACACCTAGAGCAGGTCGTGTCCAATTAATGTCCCCTAGTAATTTTTGAAAGTCACTCGATGTTTTCAATTAATGCCTACATGTGGTTACTTTCTGTGGCACAATGGTAGTGTCACTTACTAAGGTCCCCAAGTAGGAGTAAGGAGTAGTAGTCTGAATTTTGTCAGAAGCTATAATTTAACCAGCACGAGAAATTGAATTTTGCAAGTGATCATAACATTGGAGTAATATTTCTTGAGAGGGGCAGCACAAAGTATATCATCCGTATAGTGAATAATGTAACACTGTGAACATTTTTTATTAGTAGGTTCACTTGCTTGCCCCGTACACATCTGGCAAATTGTGGGACTGTTTAACATGCCCTGTGGCAACACTTTCCAATGATAATGCTTAGCAGGCTACAGGTTGTTTACTGCAGGAATTGTAAATGCAAACCCTTCACAGTCTTGCTCAGCTAAAGGGATAGTAAAGAAACAGTCTTTTAAATCTATGACTATTAAAGGCCAAGTTTTTGGAATTATAGAAGGATAAGGCAATCCTGGCTATAATGCTCCCATAGATTGTATAACTGAATTGATGGCTCTTAAGCCAGTTAACATTCTCCATTTACCTGATTTTTTCTTAATTATGAAAACTGGTGAATTCCAAGGGGAAAATGTTGGAGCTATGTGCCATTTTCTAATTGTTCAGTAACTAATTTCTCTAAAGCCTCCAGTTGCTCTTTACTTAGTGGCCATTGTTTTATCCAAATTGGTTTATCTGTTAACCATTTTAAAGTTATAGGTTCTGGAGGCTTAACAATGGCCACCATCAAAAATGATATCCTAATCTTTGGTGGGAACTTTTTAAACCTTGCAAATTTTTTTCTAATCCCAAACCAGGGACATACCACATTTCATGCATCATATGTTGACTTTGCTGGCTATATAATTGTTCTGGAATTAGAGCTTGTGATCCTCATTGTAATAAATATCTTCCCCATAAATTTATAGGTAAGGAAGTTATAATTGGTTGAATAGTCCCAGGTTGTCCATCGGGTCCTTCAGGCCCTTCACAATGCAAAATATAACTACTTTGGTATACTTCAGGGGCTTTATCAACTCCATCTATGTTAAATTGAGTGGGTTGAATTGGCCATGCAGAAGGCCAGTGCTGTGGAGAAATGATTGAATGTCTGCTCCTGTATCTACCAATCCTTTAAAATTCATTCCCTGAATAGTTATTTCACAGGTAGGGCATTTATCAGTAATTTGATTTACCCAATAAGCTGCTTTGCCTTGTTTATCTGTGCTTCCAAATCCTCCTGTTCATTTCATTTCACTTTTTCCCATTCCCACATATGGCACAATCAGGAGCTGTGCTATGTGCTCTACTGACTCTGCTTTCCAGGGAACAGAAGTAGATATAACAATTTGAATTTCCCCATTTTAATCTGAATCAATGACTCCTGTATGTATTTGTACCCCTTTTAAACCTACAGTAGGTTTTCCTAAAAGTAATCCTATTGTCCCCCTTGGCAATGGTCCACAGATTCCTGTTGGGACCTTTTGCAGGAGTTACCCAGGCAGAAGGCTCACAGCTTTTTTTTCCAGCATAAATCTACTGCAGCACTACCAGCTGTGGTGGGGGACAGACATTGTACAGAGGTGAGGGAATGGCCTGAGTTGGAAATGCCCCAGTTTAGAACAGGGCCCGGGATGGCCCCTCATGGTGTTTCCTGAAAATGTTTTCCCATTTTAATCAAACTTAGACTCATATTGATTAGCCCAATGTTTTCGTTTTTTACATTTTGGATATATTTCAGACTCAGCAGTTTTCCTTTTTTCCCCTATCTGGTGGCCTGGATTGCTGATTTTTTCTACATTCTTTTTTAGTATGACCATGCTTTCCACAGTTAAAACAAGCTCCAGGAAACGGAATATTTCCTTTATCCACTCTCAGTCCTGCCCTTACCTGTGCCAATAAAGTAACTTTATGCAGATTACCTCCAATACCATTACAGGCCTTAATATAATCAACTAAATGTGTTTTCCCTCTGATAGGTCACAGAGCATCCTGGCAATCAGGATTAGCATTGCCAAAAGCTAATAACTGCAACACTATAATCCTGAACAGCCAAATCTGCAATCATCTTTTTAAGAGACTCCTGTAAATGAGCTATAAAATCAACATATGGCTCTCTTGGTCCCTGTTTTATAGCACTAAAGGAAGGGTATTGTTCTCCACCTGTAGTGATTTTTTCCCAAGTTTGAACACACACTCCGCTAAGCTGTTCTATGGTATCATCCTGCATGACCACTTGTGCATCTAAACCAGCCCAGTCGCCAACCCCCAAAAGTTGGTCTGCAGTTATATTAACTTGGGATTGAGCCTGGACATTGTGAGCAGCCTTAATGTAAACTTCGTCTGCCCACCTAGTTTTAAATTGTAAGAATTGAGCAGGAGTTAGACAAGCTCGAGTAAGAGTGTCCCAGTCAGTAGGGATCATCTGACTGGAAACAGCAACATTTTTTAACAGACCCATTATAAAAGGAGAACCTGGTCCATACTGATTTACAGCTTGTTTAAATTCTTTGAGTAATTTAAAAGGAAAAGGCTCAAATGTAGCTATGTTTCTCTGTTGATCTGGGGGGTGTATTCTAACAGGGAACTGCCAAGCCTCTAAATCACCCTGTCGTCTAGCTTGCTGAATTCCTGCCTGAATAGAACTAAGAGTGGTCGCTCAAGGCACTGCTTGAACAGTCACTGGTTCAACTACTTTTTGCCCAGTGTCCTCCAGAAAAGAAAGATTTGGAGGGCCATTTTCTTCAAAATAATAATGAGGGAGTGCAGAAGGGTAGGGATGAACCTCTCCTTCCTTTGCCGCTTTGGCTATAGCTGGTAAATAAACATGCTCTGTAACCTCTTCTGTTACTTCATTATACTCTCGTTCCTCCTAATCTTCAGTGTGAAAAAGTTCCAAGGTGAAACTAATCAGACCCCAAACTTGCCCCATGGTTACCCTGATCCTTCCAAGCTCCCCTTCTTACTCACCACAGGGATTTCTTTAAGAGTACTCAGGTGTCCTCTAGCTAGTTTTCCATTCCAAACATCACTCCAGTGACCCTCCGACCTGCATCTGAGACCCCATGATGGATGCCACTTGCTGAGACCACCTCAGTCAGGGAGACTATAAACCAGTGGCACTGGAGGAATTAAAGACACACACACAGAAATACAGAAATGTGAAGTGGGAAATCAGGGGTCTCACAGCCTTCAGAGCTGAGAGCCCAGAACAGAGATTTACCCACGTATTTATTAACAGCAAACCAGTCATTAGCATTGTTTCTACAGGTATTAAATTAACTAAAAGTATCCTTTATGGGAAATGAAGGGACGGACTGAATTAAAGGAATAGTTTGGGCTAGTTAACTGCAGCAGGAGCATGTCCTTAAGGAACAGATTGCTCATGCTATTGTTTGTGGCTTAAGAATGCCTTTAAGCAGTTTTCTGATCTGGGTAGGCCAGGTGTTCCTTGCCCTCATTCCTGTAAACCCACAACCTTCCAGCTTGGGCATTAGGGCCATTATGAACATGTTACAGTGCTGCAGAGATTTTGTTTATGGCCAATTTTGAGGCCAGTTTATTGCCAGATTTTGGGGGGCCTGCTCCCAAGAGCCCTCATATTTTATTGGTGAAAAGACAGACCCCAAGAGACAATAAAATAGATGCGTGGTTTCTACTGTAGGGTTGATCCTGTAACAATCTGGGTCTGAACTGTGCAGGTCCATTTACAGAGGATTTTAAAAAATAAATGCAGTAGGTCCGTATAGGCAGTTTCCACATTTGAAACCAAACGTAGCAGGAAAATACAGTATTGGCCAAGTTCCAGGCCTACATGCACGGAGGGTCGACTTTTCCTACTCACAGGCTCCACAAGGCTGATTTCAGGACCTGAGCATGCATGGATTTGTGCCAAGACCAGCTCGGTTGTGGAAAGCCCAACCCAGCGGTGCTAGAGGAATGAATATAAACACAGAGAAATAAAGTGCAAAGTGGGAATCAGAGGGCTAACACACTTCAGAGCTGAGAGCCACAAACAGAGTTTGACCCACATGTTTATTGACAACAAGCCAGTGATAAGGATTGCTTCTATAGGTTATGGATTAGCTAAAAGTATTCCTTACCAAAAACAAAGCATTCTTAGTGAGGAGCAGAGAGAGTCTCTGGCTGATTATCTGCAGCAAAAACATGTTGTTAAGGCACAGGCCTCTCATGTTATTGTTTGTGGTTTGAGCAGTTTTCCTCCCCAGGCAGGCCAGGTGTTCCTTACCCTGCTCCAGTAAACCAACAACTTCTAGCAGTTTGTGTCATAGCCATCACTAGCACGTCACATTGCTGCAAAAATCCTGTTTATGGCCAATTTCTTTAAGGCCTGTTTATGACAGGCTTAAGGCGTGTTCCCAGCATGTCCCTCTTTCTGTTTTTGCAAAGTGATAAAAGCAAAGACAGCTTTGTCATAGTGGCTTTCTCACAGGTTTTGGGATCAGCATCTGCAGACTACACAAAGACAAACAACACAGATTAAAGGCACAATCATCATTGAAATCACAGAGCCTCCAATTGTCTTGACCCATTTTAATGGGTTAATATCTGCTAATACATCTGCAGCTCCTTCAAGCACTTCAGTTCCTGGCATTAACGTCAGATGTGCCTGAGAGGCTTGAAATACATGTTCCTTCAGTTTTGCAATATCCAAAGATAAATTTCCAGGATGACCCTTTAAATGTCTCTTAACTATTTCCCACTCATGCTCCATTTCATTATACAGGTGAAGAGTAATACAAAACTCAGAAGTATTCCAATCACATTGTAACTGCATTCTATATTTTAAACTAACTACACAATCTCTCAACCATACGATAGTTTGTCAGCGATCATTAGTCTGATTAGCTAATTTCTGGTCTATATTAGTTTGGGAATTCCACAGCAAAGCAGATTTTTTCTGCCAATTATTTACATAGTCTGCTGTTTGTACTGTGTTGGCAAAGCAACTCCAGCTACCATGGCAGTAGCTGTGACAGCAATCAATCCTGTAATGATTAAAATTAAAGTAGCAATGAAACACTGAGAGTGCCTCAAAATCTTTGAAGAATTTCAGTAATCATATGCACAGGAGGAGAGGCTTTTCAAGGATGGGAAATCTTTACAGGTATCCATACTCCTTCTTGGGCTCTTACTGCTAAGAGAGAATGATCAGCATTATACAAGGAAGAATTCAGACAAGAAAACAATCTACATTTTTGACAAGTCACATGATGATTAGGGAGATCAAGTTTTAAATCACTCACTACAAGCAGAAAGGGAGGACAGACACAACTCTGTATCCAGACTGAATCATTGTGAGCCAATTATAACATGCAATTAGGATTATATTGGGTTGGCTTAGTATATTTCCCTTCCCAAATCTTTATCTTTTACAGTGCCATTAATATTTTCCACAACTCTTTATGTTTAGCTCCTACAGCAGGCCACATCATTTGGGGTTGAGGTGCCACTATACCACATGTCCAAATAATAGGAACTTTTGCTGTACTTCTTATAGTGTCTACCATCTGATCATTTTCTTTAGATTCAGGGTGACCATTACCTACAGATTGAGAGGTGAGCCTCATAAATGCTCCTTTATGTGACCAATCAATAATGGCTCCATATGAATCATTACACAACAACTCTGCCTGCCCTGCAATACAATCTTCCCAAGCAAACCCCTTCATTTTTTCTGACCATATACAATCCACTATACAGACAGGTTTTTGAGGGCAGTAAACTTCAGTTACAGGAGCATAATCATTGCAATAAATACTAAGAACAGAAAGCATATGTAATTTTGCCATGAAGATGTTACATTCAGGCACTATTGCCAGCCAAGATTGATGACTGGGAGGTAAATACCCGTTGGCTTTTCCCAAGCAAATAGTTAAATGCTCAAATCCCAAGGAAATATTCATAATCATTCCCTCCTCTTTGGGGTGAGATGGGCCTCTATCATCTGTAGAACCAGGTATCCAAAAGCTATCATTAGTGTATACCTCCACTGGGAGGTCTAACCATGTTACTGGCCATAGAAGTGGTGGAAAAGGAATATATGCCCAATAAGTATAACTGTTTTTTGTTTCGGCAGGTACTGGAGGAATACTCACAGTAATGGTGAGCACAGCCATCATAGCTACCGTTAGATTACTCATTGTAACTGGTTGTTCCACTGTCTTCAGACTTTCTTCCACCATCTGTGTTGACTTCTTGATCTGGCCCCACATGGGTTGCTGTGCCTGATGAGTGTTGCTTGCTGGGACTGGTGTCTTCCTTATTGTCAGTCTTGATGTGGCTGCAACCAGGGGGTCCTTGGGTTCCTCCCAAAATCTCTTCCTCGGCATCTGGCTCATGATAACGTTTCAGGTGTCTTGATGGTATCCAAATCAGCTGCTAGTTTTGGTCTGGAGAAATACAAGCATAACGTCTACTGCATGTTATTATTTTACCTATTTCCCAACTTTTTTTTTATCAGATCTCTCCACTAAACCAGTTGTTCTGCTTCTGTCTTTGAAGCTGGTTCCTGTAGATGCTATTCAGCTGCTGATAGCTCTGGCCTTTAGGCAGGCTCAAAAAATTTAAAGTCAATAATGCTAGATTCAATTGCATATGTAGAGTCCCGTAGTCATTGTCTCCCCCTTTCTGTTTTTTCAATTGTCATTTTAGCGAGATAGTCATTCATTCCACAATGGCTTTTTCCTTGTGAATTATATGGGATGCCAGTGATATGTTTAATATTCCATTGAAAGAAAAATGTAGCCATAGTTTGACTAGTATATCCTGGGGGCATTGTCCATTTTAATGGAAGCTGGAATGCCCATGACTGTGAAGCATTGCAGAAGATGCTGTTTAACGCAGGCAGAAGATTCCCATTTGACAGGTAGCCCAAACAAAGTGAGAAAATGTTGTCTACACATACATGCACATAGGCCAATTTACCAAAAGAAGGAACAGGAGTGACATCTATTTGTCAAAGACAGTTTGGTTCTGATCCATGGGGGTTAACACCCCCAGTAAGGGATGGAGAATGAATCATTTGATAGGTAGGGCATTGTTGAATAATGTCTTTAGCCTCTTTCCAAGTATATTATATCTTCGTGTAATACCAGAGGCATTTACATGAGTCAAAGTGTGAAAGTGTTCAGCATTAGATAATTCTGTGGCAACTAAGCGGTCAGCCACTTGATTCTCTGTAGTTGAAGGTCCTGGAAGGGGTGTATGAGCTCTAATATGGGTAATGTAAAAAGTGTGCATTCTATTCCTAACTGCACTTTGTAACTAGGTAAATAAAGTCATCAGTTGTTAATCTGTATGAAATCATAACTGAGCATTTTCAATTAATTGTGTGGAATGAACCACATATGCAGAATCAGAAATTACATTGACAGACATCTCAAGAGTAGTCAGCACCTCAATTACAGCTACAAGCTCCGTTTTTTGAGCTGAAGTACTGGGCATCTGGAAAACTTTACTTTTTGATCCAGAATAAGAAGCTTTACCATTACTAGACCTATTTGCAATAACATTTTCAGTACTTTCAATTGGTTTAAATGTAGTTATTCTAGGGAGAATCCAACTAGTTAATTTCAAAAATTGAAATAACTTTGTTTTTGGAAAGTGATTATCAAGAACACCCATGAAATCAGCTAAATGAAGTTGCCAAGTAAGAGTATTTATAAAAGCCTGTTGTATTTGTGCCTTTGTAAGGGAGACGATAATTTTTCCAGGGTCATATCCATGCAATTTAAAAATTCAAGTTCTCCCATTTTCTATCAGAGTAGCAATTTGATCCAAATAAGGAATTAGAGTCCGTGAATTAGTATGTGGAAGAAAAAGCCATTCTACCAAGTCACACTCTTGGACAACACCACCAGTAGATGAATGCTGAGTTGGAAAAATCAGTAAGTCTGAAGTCTTTTCTGGATCTATTTATTTGAGCCTTATGCACTTGCTTCTCAATCAGCTGTATTTCTGCCTCAGTCTCCTTTGTTACTTGCTGAGGGCTAGTGAGACTAGGATCTCCTTTAAAGATAGAAAATAGATTACTCATGGCATAGGTAGGAACACCTAGAGAAGGTCATGTCCAATTAATGTCCCCTAGTAATTTTTGAAAGTCACTCAATGTTTTCAATTGATGCCTACATGCGGTTACTTTCTGTGGCACAATGGTAGTGTCATTTACTAAGGTCCCTAAGTAGGAGTAAGGAGGAGTAGTCTGAATTTTGTCAGGAGCTATAATTAAACTGGCATGAGAAATCGAGTTTTGCAAGTGATCATAACATTGGAGTAATATTTCCTGAGTGGGGGCAGCACAAAGAATATTGTCCATATAATGAATAATGTAACACTGTGACATATTTTTTATGAGTAGGTTCGACAGCTTGTTCTACATAAGTCTGACAAATTGTTGGACTGTTTAACATGCCTTGTGGCAACACTTCCCAGTGAAAATGCTTAGCAGGCTGCAGGTTGTTTACCACAGGAATTGTAAATGGAAACCATTCACAGTCTTGCTCAGCTAAGGGGATAGTAACGAAACAGTCTTTTCAATCTATGACTATTAAAGGTCAATTTTTTGGAATCATAGCAGGAGAAGGCAATCCTGGCTGCAATGCACCAGTAGGTTGTATAACTGAATTAATGGCTGTAAGATCTGTCAACATTCTCCATTTATGTGACTTTTTCTTAATAACAAAGACTGGAGAATTCCAGGGGGAAAATGCTGGAGCTATGTGTCCTTTTCCTAATTGTTCAGTAACTAAGTCCTCTAAAGCCTCCAGTTTCTCTTCACTCAGCAGCCACTGTTCTATCCAAATTGGCTTATCTGTTAACCATTTTAAAGGTATAGGTTCTGAAGGCTTAACAATGGCTGCCATCAAAAATGATATCTTAACCCTGGTGAGAATTCTGTCCTTTCACTTGAAGTGGTTTCTTTAACCCTTGTAAATTTTTTCTTAATCCCATGCCAGACACATACACCATCTCTTGCATCATATGCTGACTCTGAGAGCTATATAATTGTTCTGGAATTAACACTTGTGTGCTCCATTGCTATAATAAATCTCTTCCTTATAAATTTACAGGTACAAAAGTTACAATTGGTTGAATAGTCCCAGATTGTTCATTGAGTCCTTCACAATGCAAAATATAACTACTTTGATATACTTCAGAGGCTTTACCAACTCCAACTGTGTTAAATTGAGTGAGTTGAATTGGCCATGTGGATGTCCAGTGCTATAGAGAAATGATTGAAATGTCTGCTCCTGTATCTACCAATCCTTTAAAATTTTTCCCTGAATAGTTATTTCACAGGTAGGATGTTTATCATTAATTTGATCCACCCAATAACCTTCTTTGCTTTATTTATTTGTGCTTCCAAATCCTCCTGTTCATTTCATTTCACTTTTTCCCATTCCCACATATGGCACAATCAGGAGCTGTGCTATGTGCTCTACTGACTCTGCTTTCCAGGGAACAGAAGTAGATATAACAATTTGAATTTCCCCATTTTAATCTGAATCAATGACTCCTGTATGTATTTGTACCCCTTTTAAACCTACAGTAGGTTTTCCTAAAAGTAATCCTATTGTCCCCCCTGGCAATGGTCCACAGACTCCTGTTGGGCACTTTTTGTGGGGGTTCCCCAGGCAGAAGTTTCACAGCTTTTGTGCAGCATAAAGCTACTGCAGCACTACTGGCAGTGGTGGGGGACAGGCATTGTACAGGGGTAAGGGAGTGGCCTCAGCCAGAAATTCCCCGGTTTGGAATGGGGCCTGGGACAGGCCCCTCATGGCATTTCCCAAAATTGGGTTCCCATCTTTATCAAACTTAGAGTGACACTGATTAGCCCAGTGTTTTCCTTTTTTGCATTTTGGACATATTTCAGGCTCAGCAGTTTTCTATTTTCCCCCAACTGGTGGTCTGACTCACCGATGTTTTCTACATTCTTTCTTAGTATGACCATGTTTCCCACAACCAGCTCCAGGAAACAGAGTATTTCTTTTACCCACTCTCAGTCCTGCCATTGCCTGGGCCAGTAGAGTAGCTTTATACAGATTACCTCTGACACCATCACAAGCTTTAATATAGTCAACCAAATGTGCTCTTCCTCTAATAGGTCACAGAGCGGCTTGGCACTCAGGATTGGCTTTGTCGAAAGCTAATAACTGCAACACTATATCCTTAGCAGCCGAATCTACAATTACCTTTTAAAGAGACTCCTGTAACCTGGCTATAAAACCTGCATAAGGTTCTTTGGGCCCCTGCTTGTCAGCACTAAAGGAAGGGTGTTGTTTTCCTCCTGAAGTGATTTTTTCCCCAAGCTCTAATGCACACTCCTCTAAGCTGCTCTATGGCATCATCCTGCATAACCACTGTACATTTATCTAAACCAGCGCAGCCACAAACCCCCAAAAGTTGGTCTGCAGTTATATTAATTTGACGTTGGGCCTGGACATTGTGAAGAGCCTGAATGGAAGCTTCATCTGCCCACCAAGTTTTAAATCAAAAGAACTGAGCAGGAATCAGACTAGCTCGAGTAAGAGCATCCCACTCAGTAGGAATCATCCGACTAGAGACAGCAACATTCCTTAACAGTCTCATTACAAAAGGAGAACCTGGTCCATATTGATTAATAGCTTGCTTAAATTCTTTAAGTATTTTAAAAGGAAAAGGTTCAAATGTAGCTACAATATTCTCCTGTTGATCAGGTGAGTATATTCTAACAGGGAACTGCCAAGCATCCATATCACCCTCTCATCTAGCTTGGTGGATTCCTGCCTGAATAGAACTGAGAGCAGTCGCTCCAGGTGCTGCTCGAACAGTCACTGGGGCAACTACTTTTCACTCAGCGTCCTCCAGAAAAGAAAGATCTGGAGGATCAGGCCACTCTTTTTCTTCAAAATGATGAGGGGGTGCAGAGGGGTAGGGACAAACCTCTCCCTCCTTTGTCACTTTAGCTGGCAAGCAAACCTGCTCTGTCACCTCTTCTTTTACTTCGTTGTACTCTCCTTCTTCCTCTGATTCCTCCTCCTCGTCATGTGTGGAAAGGCTCCAAGGTGGAATGAACCAGAGCCCACACTGACCAGACAGTTATAGGAATATCCTCGGCACCATCCATATATGCCTTTTTCAGTGTGCTGCCTACCTTTTCCTAGACCTCTATATTCATACTTCCTTGGTCCGGAAACCAGGGGTAATATTTCTCCACCGCACTAGAAATCTGCATGAGTCAGCTAGTGCTAACCTTCATTCCCCCTTTTCTGAGGAGCTGCCGAAGCAGACTCAAATAAGTCACCTGCCTGCTCGACCCTTGTCCCATTGTTACCCTGATGTTTCCGAGCTCCCCTTCTTACTTACCATGGGGATTGCTTAAGAGTACTCTGGGTCCTTCAGCATAGTTTCA